AAAATTAAATCTTGGTTGGTTGATTGAGTAGCTGGACATGGTATATATTCACGTGAAGTAATAATATTAGTATCCGATAATGTTGGAGATCGTTGGAATGTATTTGGAGTAATTTTATATGGGGTAGTATTTTCTAAAAAACTTGATGACGTCAGGAATTGTTGGGGTGTATTTAGAGTAACTTCACACGACATAGTGTCTTTTAAGATATTTGATGATGACGCCATAGTTAGTTGTGCCAAACTTGGCACATTTTTATCTTCTGAAGTTTCTAATGACATTTCATCCTCTGAAGTTTCTAATAATGTTTTGTCCTCTGATGTTTCATTCTTTGAAGTTTCTAATAATGACATGAGTGTGTCACCTTCGTTCATACTATCACAGTTTACTCTTCTGCATGATTGCTTTGATTTTGGCCCTTGTTGCTTGACAGATTTCCAAAATAGTATTAGAATCAGTATTAATAATGTGCAAGATAGTAAAAAAAAAAAAAATTTACTTTCTTAGATTCTTTCACATAGTCTGAATCGAATAGATCAGTCTCTTCTTCTGAACTTTCAGCATAGTTCATCTCTGATTTCCTTTTTCTAAGGATTTTTCTAGGATATAATTCTGTTTTCTGTAAAACGAAAAAAAAAATCAGCCTCAGCATAATCATTTTTAAAATCTTACTAGACTTACTTTTTTTGTCGATCTTGTAGACTTTGAAGTATCCCTCTCACTCTTGTATTTAGTATTTAACGAGTTTATTGCCCATACGGAATTTGATGTTATAATTTCATTATTTTGAGAATCCCCATAAAAGTTAATTGAAGTTCCACTAGCCTCTTTTTTATGTTCCTTCTCCCAATTTCGAGCAAGATTCCGGTCGGGTCGATTGCCCTAATATGCAAAAGTTGGTAACTTAGTAATATTCTTCTAGTACTTACAAGTTTCAATCCAATCAGATCTGATTTAGAGTCTTGAACAAGAGATAATCTTAGAGGTTATCCGTGCTCAAATAGGGCTAGTGCAAGATCGACCTTAAGTCTTGAACGTCATACAATCTAGGAGGTTGCATGCGCCCAAACACTAGCTTAATTCTATCTAATCGACTTTAAGTCTTGAACAAGAAATAATCTTAGAGGTTATTCATGCTCCAATAGGGCTAGTGCCAGGTCAACTTTGAGTCTTGAACGTCATACAATCTTGGAGGTTGTATGCGCCCAAACACTAATTTAATTCTATCTGATCGACTTTAAGTCTTGAACAAGAGATAATCTTAGAAGTTATCCATGCTCAAATAGGACTAGTGCCAGATCGACCTTGAGTCTTGAACGTCATACAATCTTGGAGGTTGCATGCGCCCAAACACTAGCTTAATTCTATCTGATCGACTTTAAGTCTTGAACAAGAGATAATCTTAGAGGTTATCTATGCTGCAATAAGAATGATGCCAGGTCAACTTTGACTCTTGAATGTCATACAATCTTGGAGGTTGTATGTACCCAACACTAGCTTCATGGCTCATCTTAGAGACTTGAACGACCAGAAATCCTCGAGATTCCTCCGTGCTATCAATTCCTATCTATATTTTTTTTATCAAAAAAAAAAAATTTTTTTGAAACTTGCTTGTTTATACTGATCATATAATTGTCGTGCTTTTTTACTCCTATTGCCATCATTCATATTAATAATGTTCTCAAGAGAAACAATATATTGCCCAATTTTGTCAGGAAATAATGCTGCATTGTTGCATTCTTCTAGGTAGCCTATAATATTCCATTCAGAGTACTTGCGAACAAAATATTCGTGTACCCAATCTTTTGACATGGTGGTATTTGCAAAATGACGAAACGAGGGTTTTGTTATTAGAAGGGTTAAATGTGAAAAAAATGTATTTCAAAAATGTATTACGTGCATAGTGTTGGAATGGGTCAGGCCAGGTCGAGCCCGCATGGGTCATGGGACGACACGGGCCAGCCCGCAGGCGGGCCTGATGACGTTCAATTATATATGAAATACACTAATAGGATAGTCAATGAAAAAAGGCAAAGTTTCCTTATAAATTGATATTTATACTTTACAACTTAACTAGTCTTCTTTACATATAACAAGCATTTTTACTATATAAATTCTAACATGGGTTACTTTTTTTGCTTTTACATTAAAAACCTTTGAAGTGCCGTTTTTTTTAAAATTGCGGTTAAAGTCAAATTATGGGTGCAAGAGCATTAACAAGTCGTGGAGATACTTCTTATACGTTAGAAAATATGAAGAATCGCTCGCAGATTTGAATAAATCATTAGGAATGCACTAAGTAATGTATTAAAACGCAATGCATTAAAACTAAGATGTTGCAGTGTAACTTATCATATAATTAAAAGATATAAAGAACTTGAATAAAATCGTTAGAGATTAAACAAAATATTGCAAGAGTATTAAAAAGTCGTGGAGAAACTTAGAAAAATTTAAAAATTCACTGCAAACTTGAATAAACCATGAGAGATCGGACAGCAGATTTATGTGACATTTTTTATCTGCTTAAATATAATAAAGTTTCGAATATGATCATTTTAGTAGATATACAGTATTAGGTTGGTTATTCTTATCGAATAAAATAGGAATTGAAAAGGATAACGCAAAGGTATTCGAATTTTATAAGAGCCTGAGTATATGGTAATATTAGAAATATAGTCTTAGCCTTGGGCATCTGCACTGGTGGTTGTTAAAATGAAATTGGAGTAGAAAAAGATAAACATAAAGCATCGAATATTACATGAAGTCAGCAGAAATAGACGATGCTGAAAGAGCATTTTGGTTGAAGCTGGCTATCAAGATGGAATTGGAGTGAAATAAAATAAAAGAATTATTTATAACACAAGAAAGTGTCTAGAATCATAGAATTGTATAATTCGAACATTATTAAACTCTGCTATTGCGGGTAATGCTAGTGAATATCTAATGTTGGTGTTTGTCATGATAAGGATTCATGTCGAAAAGGATAAATATAAAGCATTTAAATCTTACTTTTTTTTTTTTTTTTTTTTGAAGTTAAGGTGAGGTTTTGCTCATATCTTTATTAATTTGTTGAAAAAGCCTCTTGGGGCTT